CTGAGTCGCACACCACCCATTCTTTCAATGGAGAAGTTACATTTTAGCGAAGCCGCTCACTCGTTGTGTTCAATTATATCATCATTCCAATCATCAGCTCCTTATTACACACCACGTTCAATGGATGTGTCTTAAGACAGGCATCGGACTTCGTATATATATTATTATTGTGTGTTTGTTGTTTAAATTCGCACTCAGCAATATTTCAGGCATATGACGGTGATCTGTAAATAATCGGGTCTCGACCAAACAATCAAGTGATTGACATCATGAGCATCGATCTTTGCAATTGGGATACGATGACATGCATTAACCACGTCAGCGAGCCTGACCACCTGATCACGTTAGCTTTATCAGCATTAAAAACCTAAAAAATTAATACTGTTAATGGAAAATTAAGGTAATACATATTAGACGTTTTAAACAACCTAAATGGGTGACGTACACATATTCTGGCTTACAGACGAAAAATAATATAACACGTTCCCTATTATAAGAGTGCGACTTGAAGTAAAATTACGGAAAAACATACAGAAAATATAAAATATATAAAGGAATGTGTTACGTGTACCATGCTTTTAGAATGTTAAATCTGAGTACCAAATACAGTAAACTACGGTTATAACGAACACAAAGGGACCACTAAATTTAGTTCGTTATAACCGTAGTTCGTTATAAGCAAATATACAACATATACAGCTTATGGACGAGACCAAAAGAAACCCACAACACTTCGTTATATCCGTCAGTTCGTTATAAGCGTGTTTGTTACGATCTTTTTACGTCCCGCTTACCACACTGCTGAGTCCCGAGTACCCTACTTAATATACTCCGAATCCCATGTACCACACTGCTGAGTCCCGAATACCCTTCTAAATATACTCCGAATCCCATGTACCACACTGCTGAGTCCCGAGTACCCTACTTAATATACTCCGAATCCCATGTACCACACTGCTGAGTCCCGAATACCCTTCTAAATATACTCCGAATCCCATGTACCACACTGCTGAGTCCCGAATACCCTTCTAAATATACTCCGAATCCCGCGTACCACACTGCTGAGTCCCGAATACCCTACTAAATATACTCCGAATCCCATATACCACACTGCTGAGTCCCGAATACCCTTCTAAATATACTCCGAATCCCGCGTACCACACTGCTGATTTGTGAATACCCCACTAAATAGTCGATTCCATAACTGCAGCTCTGATTTTCAGACTCGATTTATAACAGGTCGCGTTCATCGACCTGAATTATAAGGGTTCCTGCGGCGTTAAAGAATATTCACTCATTCACAAATGAGCGCATTTAACCAAAGACGTATAGATATATACGTCTTTGACTAAACTAAACATTAAATCGATCTTTGTAATGAGTTACGAAACTTTTACTCTAGTTATTTTGTCAAAAGATGTAAAAACGTGTAAAATACACGTATATCAGGAAATTATGTGTTCACTTTTGTAATATCTCCGACAAAGAAGATCACAGATAAACATCACTCATGCGAAATGATAACAATTTAAAAACCACGGACCTGAACAGATTCAAAGACGTAATAAACACCTCTCGTGGCGACTGGTTGATGTAACTGACTTAATGATCGTCCTCATACATAGCTATTCACCACTTAAAAGTGCCAACTCCGTGTTTGCTTGCTGCAACATGAAGTGTCGTCATCCGCGATGTACTTGACGGAAAGTACTCTCTGGGTGATGCCTCGACCTTTACTGATGCAAGGTGCTCGCTGTTTGGCCATTGTCAGTCCAAGGTAAATACAGGATGTAAATCAGCTATGAGCTGATTTATTTCTGTGCATGTTGCCCATTATTGTCATCTGGAGTAGGCCTCTATGACTCTGTGCCTTCTGTTTAGTTTGACTCTGTTCATGTGACTGAGCTTGGGGTAGGAATACCCTAAGATTTCTGCACACGTCTCTGTGCACCATCGCCTGTTTACCTGTTAGGTATACGCTTCCGGTATATCAAAAAAGGCATGCAATCAATTTGAGTCCCGAGTACCCTACTAAACATACTCCGAATCCCGCGTACCGCACTGCTGATTTGTGAATACCCAAATAAAAATAGTATACTCCGAATCCCGCGTACCACACTGCTGAGTCCCGAATACCATACTAAATATACTCCGAACCCGAATACCCCACTAAATATACTCCGAACCCGGTTTACCACACTGCTCAGTCCCGAATACCCCACTAAATATACTCCGAATCCCGTGTACCACACTGCTGAGTCCTGAATACCCTACTAAATATACTGTGAACCCGGTGTACCACACTGCTGAGTCCCGAATTTCCAACTAAATATACTCCGAATCCCGCGTACCGCACTGCTGATTCGTGAATACCCTACTAAATATACTCCGAATCCCGTGAACCAAATGGGGGTCGGCACCGTACTGTATCCCTCTCATTATTGCGGTAAACTTTTTGACAAACGTCATACAGTTCAGGTTTTTAGATAAAACTAAAACTGAATAACCAAAAAAATATCGAGAATTTTGGATACAACTTGACCAAATGTGGCGTGTTATGCACGTACTTTCTATTCATTTTACCCATAAGGCCATATTTCAATTACCCATAAGTCGCACAGACTTTTCAGCAAGCTATTACAAATAGAAAAAAAAGCTATTCAGGACGTTATTTGAACACAGGCACATTTAGAAGAAGAAAAATATTACTGCCTTTTACGGCAAGCATGGCTTGCTGAAGACCTATTCTACCCCTGATCTTGACGGGTCGTAGGCTATTCAGGATCTCCCAGTCATTATTGTGACGTCAAGACCTCGTGGGGAATTTACATCCATAACAGATGACAACTTTTATGAATTTAGGAGTGTCGTTGCGTTAAAAATGAAAACAACTAACAACACAATAGAAATGTGTAAAATACATACACCAATAATGAATTGTCACTGTAGACGAAATTAGAAATGTATGAATTTCCTATACAATTACCCATAAACCCCCATATCCCCACAGAGTTGTCACAGAACTATTACAAATAGACCAGGCCATCGTGGAATATTTTTTTCCTTATATTTGGTTAAAGCGTTTGCTTGCCACGCCGAAAACCCGAGTTCGAGTCCCATTTTCTTGTTAGTTCGAACGAGTTGAGTTATCATGAGGAACTACGTAGACCTTATGTCACACAAACGTATTTCACCAAACACGAATCTTTGCAGCAAGTGAACTCCTAACGATAAATTCCTCACAGGTGTCAGTAGCGTGCGTGCGGGATTTTAAGTTCCGGGTTGCACAAAGCCATTCAGCTCGTAAAGGTTCGGGCTATTGACACCTGAACTCCTAGTCTACCGGACACCCAATGTCATATATCACGACGCATCTGAGCCTGTAAAGTTGTATTTAAAGTAGCAGATTTGCAGGCAAAGAGGTGAATCCGCTGCTTGTCGGAAAATATGTTTGCCGATAGCCCATTCAGTATGTTGATATTGACAGGCAATAGGCTTGAAACAGTTGTCTCCCTTGGGGAACAACACGCGCCTGATTTGTGTCTTTCCGTGCATGTCGGGGTCTTCACGTCGTGGTTATTTTAGAGGTAAGTCTTAGCTCATATCAGCCGTCAAAATTTGATTTATGTGGCTTAATAGTTCGCGAGAAAAATTATTTTTTCCATCACAGGCTGTATTCACCATGCAAAAACATAAAGCAAAGTTCATTACTCCACACAAAATATATTCTTAAAACCAAATTTGGAATTTTGTCTTGACGAATGTCTTATTTATGTAACTTCAGTAGTTTCCAAGAAAACTTGTCAGTATGTACCAAGTTAAAAAACATGAAGCAAGGGTCATAACCTTGTGAAAAATAAGTTGTCAATATCAACTTTATGTTAAAGACCGTTTTGTGGAACGGGAGCCTGAAGCGACTACAGTCCACTGTATATGTATAATATTGTATATGAACCCTGTTCCTTTGCAATTCAGCACTTTTGTTTGTCGATTCCATAACTGCAGCTCTGATTTTCAGACTCGATTAATAACAGGTCGCCTTCATCGACCTGAATTAGGGTTCCTGCGGCGTTAAAGAATACTCACTCATACACAAATGAGCGCATTTAACCAAAGACGTATATAGATATATACGTCTTTGACTAAACTAAACATTAAATCGATCTTTGTAATGAGTTACGAAATTTTTACTCCAGTTATTTTGTCAAAAGATGAAAAAGCGTGTAAAATACACGTTTATCAGGAAATTATGTGTTCACTTTTGTAATATCTCCGACAAAGAAGATCACAGATAAACATCACTCATGCGAAATGATAACAATTTAAAAACCACGGACCTGAACAGATTCAAAGACGTAATAAACACCTCTCGTGGCGACTGGTTGATGTAACTGACTTAATGATCGTCCTCAGCTATGAGCTGCATTTATTTCTGTGCATGTTGCCCATTATTGTCACCTGGAGTAGGCCTCTAGGACTCTGTCCCTTCTGTTTAGTTTGACTCTGTTCATGTGACTGAGCTTGGAGTAGGAATCCCCTGAGATTTCTGCACACGTCTCTGTGCACCATCGCCTGTTTACCTGTTAGGTATACGCTTCCGGTATATCAAAATAGGCATGCAATCAATTTGCAAAACCAAACAATACTTGGATAAATATCACTGAGCTCTCCGAGTCCATTTTCCCGAGGCAAGGGAATTAACTCACTATAAATAAACGTCCAGTTAGTGCCCTTGCCTTGGGAATCAGCATCACCATTTGTTTGGATGACCTCACCAGATCACCATCAAACGGCAGAGCCATCTGTTATGAAGACATTATATCCTCTACGAGTGCGAATGTCTGGATGAAGGATTGAAAATGAGGGCACTCTAAACCTTAAACCCCAAATTATTGCCGTTGTTCTATGTCAATAGAACACTTTTGGTCAAGAAAAAATCTTATTACATCGAAACATGAAAAATGTTATTCTTCCATCATTCGTCGATAATGAAATTAGAATGTTTTTTACTTTCTTTTATTAAATTCTCGGATACAAAAAGAGGCTGGTATGTTACGAACAACACGCTGAGGTGGCGTTTCTGACAACATCAAAGTGTCTCACAGAAGACGTGAGACATGTCATGGGCGAGAATATTTCTCTCAAAACTTTAAATAATAAACACACAATAAATGGAAACCGTGGAGCATATGGGCCACTCGGCGTCCACGAACAGTAGGTTTCATAGTCATCTACACATCGACTGGCCCTGCCCAAGTATCTCTTAGAACACGTTTTGTCCACCCTGGGCATCGACCTGATTGGTTTGTCTTCAGAGAGAACGTCTTTGTACAGCTTTATGGTAATAACCTCCAGTGATTCAGATTCGTTGTCACTGTCTCGACATCCTGCCAGAACTGGCACTTATTTTGAAGGTTCTGGAAAGAAGCGGATACATCTTAAAGAGACAAACATGAAAAATGACATAGATTATAATAATAATAATAATAATAATAATAATAATAATTATAATAATAATAATAATAATAATAAAAATAATAATTGCATTTATAATGCGCCAGATTCCATTCACCAAGTGGATGCTCATAGCGCTACACTATTATTACCCCGGTCAATGGATCAGTGAACACTCGATTTTTATTCTCAGCTCCCTGGGGAGTATACAACCCAAGCTGCCTGTGAGACGCTAGAAGGTTAACAGCCACATTACCATCTCATCCTACCGGGTACCCACTCACTGCTGGGTCAACAGAGGCACATTTCAACCAAAGTCACTTGACTAAGGAGACACCACATGTGATACATGTGCTTCAGTGTGGGGCAGGACCGAAGCCCTAGAAACTCTCAAGAGTCAAGCTGCTGAACGTGGTCACCCATCCAACTACTCTCCGAGACCGACGTTGCTTAACTTCACCTGATTTGTGATATGTGCACTGTGCAATAAGTGCTTGTTTTACGACAACCTCCACCAAAACGTAAACAAACGCACAATCAAACAAACATAAACAAAAAACAACAACTACTTGTTATTGAATTGACCTCAGTGCATGATGTAAGGTGTAGTAGAAAGACAATCGGATACTTTTATTTAGAAAATTTGAATTTGCTTTATATTTTTCTTTCATCGTGCTTCCCCCAAGCTCATACATGGTAGACAATGAAACGTAATGGCCGAGGAAAACCAGCACCAATGGACGATTATTTTGGAGGGCATACACGGTTCACAAAATACGGTACACATGATATATATACATTTCTTAGTACATTAATATTTTTGGACATTATTTCAGTTACATGACGGCGCATAAAGCTTAAACATGTGTAGCTGAAACGTTCATGGCCTTGTGAGTGAGTGAGTGAGTATGGTTTTACGCCGCTTTTAGCAATATTCCAGCAATATCACGGCGGGGGATACCAGAAATGGGCTTCACACATTGTACCCACGTCGGGAATCGAACCCGGGTCTTCGGCGTGACGATCGAACGCTTTAAAGGGGAAGTGTACACGCTAAAATCACTTTCTTTCTTTTTCTAAACAAAACGCAATTTTAGAATTAGTTAATATCTGTGTTTGAAAATGTAAACTCATTTTTTTCACAGTGAAAGTAGGAAGCTCACAATAGTGTGAAAATGATATGCCGTTATGAGGCCTTCGTTTTTCGAGCTAAACAGGCTTGAGTTATCCCCCTTAGATTATGACGTAATTGGTGCCAATTCAACTGGATCCCTGTCTATTCTCAACGCAAAAGATATCAAGTACCAGTTTTCGGTAAAACAACATGGCCTACGACACACTCCGGCGCAGTGGTGACTCAGCATAACACTATGCTGGCTGGCATCTGAGACGCTAGAATCACACAGCTGTACCTACACCACGTGAAGCGGCTCTAACATAGCATGATAACGTCATAATGTTTATCAATTGGCACCAATGACGTCATATTGCAAGGGGCATAATCCATGGTGTTTTTGTTATGAAAATAGAACACTTGGTAAATGTGAAAAATATAAATCGTTTTAATGCAAAACATATGTTAATTAATTGTGATATTTTTATATTTTTGTCTATGACACTACTAGGTTAACACTTTTAATGTGGAAAAAGTACAAGAAAATTAGGTTCATTTCCGTGTGAACTTGCCCTTTAACCACTAGGCTACCCGACCGCCCCTCATGGCCTTGTGACGCTAACACGCATGGGTATGTTGGTGGACGAATATCCTGATCAAACTGGGCCCTGTTAGACAAAGCGATCGTAGCGCTAAGGTGATCGTAACTCTCATACTTTCACAAGACTTACGACAGTCGCAAAGCTACGATCGCTTTGTGGAACGACACGCATTCGAGCCCGCGAGACACAAGCTCCTCACAGCGATAGTCCGTTCGCGGAGCTCTTACTGAGAGTGTAACGAGGGTGTCACGCGCTGGGAAGGAGCTTGCGCGAGACACGGCTAAGGGAGGCAACTGCGCACAGCGACGTCTGACTCATCAGAGAAACCTGACGTCATTAACTACGACTTACCAACGAGTCTAACACTTGTATTCACGTTTCCTCTGTTGTTGTGGGCAAAACATTCATATTCCCCATAGTCATTGCTCTCCAGATGCATGATCCGCAGCTCGGACCTTTGACGATAGAGACCGTTACTGGTGTTGCTTGTCCGGTGTTTGAAACTGTTAGACAGCTTGTTTCTGTGGCGTGTCCAATGCATCTGGGGGGCTGGGTTACCCACGCTGTGACACACGAGATAGGCAATGCTTCCTTTGCTCGTCATTACCTGTTCGTCCTCAATGTAGACGATTGGTCTCGCTGCACAACAGACAGACAGTGATAAAATTGTGATTATTAATCGTGGTAAGAATTGTGAAGTGAACGAATATTTTATAAATGTCAGAAGTATTTTACTGCGGTCAGTAAATAATCGATTCTGATTAATGCAAACAAGTGATTGAAAACATGAGCAACCTCGCATATCGACGGGATCGAGCCTGACAACCCAATCATTATATCATTGCAAGCATGGTATGATCGCAAAAACATTGCAAACACTGAGATAAGGTTTGGTTTGGTTTGTTTGTTGTTTAACGCCGCACTCAGCAATATTCCAGCTATATGACGGCGGTCTGTAAATAATCGTGTCTGGACCAGACAATCCAGATATTGATATCATGGTCATCGATCCACGCAATTGGGATACGATGACATACATCAACCAAGTCAGCGAGCCTGACCCCCCGATCCCGTTAGTCGCCTCTTACGACAAGCATAGTCGCCACTTACGGCAAGCATGGGTTGCTGAAGACCTGTTCTAGTCACGAGGTCCTGAGATAAGGGCCGGGTGCAAAGAAAGTACACCATTGAAAATGAGTGAGTGAGAGAGTGAGTCAGTGGGTGTTTGGGGAGTTGGGTCTAACGCGTCTTTGAGCAGTATTACAGTTATATAACGGCGTGTCAGCTTGATGTGGGAGTAAAAACCGAAGTGGTGCGGGTCTCCGACGTTGACCACTGTAACCAACGAGCACGGGTATGTTGCTGACAAACCCTGAAACACAATCGGGGAGAACCTGGATTCGATCCCAAAATCATTGGTTTCTGGCTTGCCCAAGGGACGCAACTCTGCACATCGAATTGCAGCGCCTTAGACGACTGGGCAACCCGGATAAAAGTGAGTGGATGAGTATGGTTTTACGCCGCTTTTAGCATTCCAGCAAAATCACGGCTGGGGACACCAGAAATGGGCTTCCAGATTGTACCCATGTCGGGAATCGAACCCAGGCCTTCGGCGTGACGAGCGAACGCTTTAACCACGAGGCTACCCGACCGCCCCTCAACCCGGGTATGACTTATGCTGATTGGACATTGTGTGAAGTTTTGTTTACACCGCTGTTTTGTGGCTGCAGTTTTGTTTCCTAATTCATCATACTTTCTGACTCAGTACACTAACTACATGGTGTGTGGAAGCTGTGAATCACGTGATACATACCCGGACCAGTGGGCGTGGCTGGTGTTGTCCGCGGGGCAGGGGTCGTGGGGTTTGCTGCAATGGAAATACATATTTTGGATACACATATTATGAATTTGATCGCGCACTTTTCAGTTCAAAACTGCCCAAATGCGCTGAAAACATTGCATGCATTATTATCACCCGGTCAGTTACCACAACCTTTTATATTAATTTGGGTGATCCTGGCACAGTTAGACTGGTTAGGCTCATCATCAGCTCAAGACTCTTGCCCTTCTACACGCAGCCCAGACAGCGAATGGGACTTCATCCTGCATAGTCGAACCCACCCAGAACCTTTCGGAGAATGTGAAGACTCCACAACACTGCAGCCTTCTGCATTACCCAGATTGTCAGAAGGGCTGTATTCCTGGTAGCAAACCTGGGTACTCTCATAACATCAGTGAAAAGATTGTGAGGTTCCAAGCCTAAGACACCGAGAACAATGGGGAGTCGGACAACTTGTACATGGGATGCAAGTGTGACATCTCGTAAACGAGGTTCTGCTCGTTCCCATGTCAATCACATTAGGGACATGATTGAATTTATCAAAAAATACAAGATCCGATTTCTTGACAAGATCAGATGTCTGAGGATGTATACGGGCCTATTCCAAAGAAATGTATGATTATCATTTTCCATGACGCCCTCTACATATTCTGGGTCGTACCAAGGGCGGACAACTGAGTCAAAACAACAAGCAAGGCGAAGACGGTCATAAAAGGATCAAGCCACTCCATCCTGTCGCTTAAGATACTGTGTTTATACTAAAGCTGGGCATCCACTGACAATGTGTTTTGCAGTCTCATTAAATTCATTACATAATCTGCAATTCATATTTACATTTTGATGCAAATCCCACATTGACGGTTTCGATTTGGAAGTGACTGGTCCTGAGCAGCGAGTTTCACTTTTCAGGCCAGCCGACTTCATCAAACTCGATGCAGTGGATGTTCACGGCGGCCTGTAAAAAGAATTAACCCTCTGGATGCCGAGTTTTTTTTCTGACGCACATTTTCCTAAGATCGGAAAAGTGAAGGTTGTGCGAGAATTGCGCTCACGCGGCACTGGATCTATCTCTGGCAATACAATTACGCAGAGGTGGAGAATATTAAATTTCTTATTTGATAGTGTAAATTTAACTGTAAATATCAAACCGGTTTTTAAAAAAGACACTCCTAAGTGTTGTCCGAGAATTTATTCTGCGTTGAAAAACAGTAAATTTCTCCGCTTTTTATCGTACACCGATAAAAGTACTGTGCGACAATTTTTTTAATTAAGAAGCTTTACGGAAACTGTGAGCGAACAAAATACTGCCTAATATCTGAACGACATAACTACATATCAAATGGGGTTATATGCGTATGTATAACGACATACATTTAATTCCAAAAATAGCATGCCGTAAATGACGAAAACTGATTTTTCTCTATGACGTCAAAAGGTGACAGAGAGGTTACACACGTACAAAGAAAAGGGGGCATAACTCCGCTATGCTTAGCTCTAGTTTGTTGTAACTCAGGTCACTTGGTGAGAATTAACTGTGGGTAAGGACAATATATTTTCTTGGTGTTTTGTTCAGGAGGAACCAAACTATTCCAACACAAATATCAATATTGAAACTGTACACGTTTAGTTATAAAATATACCCATCAGAAATGATGAAATCGTACTTCATAAAAAGGAGGTAATAGAGAAATGGATGGCCTTATCTAACCTATAACTTTGTCCTTAGATTCCAACATTCTCCTGATTGTGTAAGTGTAATTTGACTAATGTTGCATCATTATTAATGGAGCACAAGCCTTATCACCAAATGTTATGAAATACCCTAAAAATAACACGATACCTTTTGACGTCATGGCTGGTTTTATGTCTTGGATAACGTCGGAAAAAGACGACACTGGTATTTTGATTAATATATATCTCCCCTAATTTTCGTTCATGGTATGGAAAATCTCGATGTGTGGAACTGAATTTGACGCTTTTTCGACACAACATAAAATGACTGCTCTCACCAAGTAAATAATGTCTTGAATATGTAAACAATTAGAACGTTTATCGAGTATCTTAATTGGACAAGACACGCACCTGTTTGGCATCAATTTACGTAATGAAATTCCCAAAAGAATATTTCAAAACAACCACAATTATATTCAATATTGGACATATATTTGTTCATGATTATGCTATTTTTTCTTACACAATTAAAGATGCAAAGAAAGCTCTATTGGTATAGAATTATCAGGGTAATCGTATACGTTTGAACCAACGGGGTACCTGGCATGGGTTTTATTTTTATACATTTTACAGTTCCTGGAGAAATAAAGTAAACTGTTTACTATCCTGTGATCACAATATTGAAACAATAATGTAACCATTGATTATATAATGCAAAACGAGAGGATTAATTCGTAAATTGTTTGTGACTAACGCGCACCTGGTGAATCGTTAGATATCACTGTTCTTTGTATCCAACGACATAAAAGACAAATCCAAGACTAAGACATTTCAGAAATGTGTGCATATATTTTACCGAAACATATCATCCATTTTGTTAAAGTAATATATTCAGTTTTAGTTATAAAATAAAATGAAACGGCTGTTCATGGACATTGGTTATATGAACTTATAATATTGACTTATTACACATCCCAAGAAATATGTACATTCTGCAGTTACATTTACACTTCATCTTGTAACACTTGTCCAAAGGAAAGAAATATCGTAGTCGACACTATAAACCTATCACATTGTTATGTAAACAATGTTCGAACAAACAAACAGGAGATTATCAAAGGTTCCTTCATGCATGTTGTGGCCTATATGTACGTATGATTTCATTTTGAACATTGACAAATATCCAAAGTGAAATTAATTGTGTGAAAAAATGTATAAAAGACATGCAAAATATACACCATAACTGAAACTGTAAACAGCATGATACAGTGATCGTGTGCACTCTCATTCAAGGACCTTCACCTCAAAGAAATGACCAAATATGTACAACAATGTTGACGTATGACATCACTACCTGTGACCCACTTTTACAAAATGGCGTGTACACTTTCAACAGTACGCGGGATTGTACGAGGGGACTTTCGTTGATTCAGGGATCGTATAAACATAAATGTGACATGTAAGTAATCAGAAACATTCTGACAATCTATGTACTGTTATTTGTTGTCATAATTTTCATAGAAACAAACGGAAATAGTCAGAAATTCCGATAAATACCGTTGTCGTTGTGCGTGATTTTGCGTCAGTCATGGCGTCAACCAGAACGGTAACGTTGACAACTTCTGTTGAAAATATCTAATCATTGCAATGTATCTATTTGAAATTCCGTACTTCTTCCTACGATTCTCTTCCCATGCATGTTCTGAAAATGTTGAGCCAATATATTGAACGAATAGACGAATGGATAGCTCAAAATAGGAGAATATGCTACACTGTGTAAAATCTGAATTTTGCTTTGTTTACATTTCAACCATGTGCAGTTTTTCGAGCACAGCGTTCGTTTTCACACCTAAGTTATTTTGCTTGATTTCATCTAGCCACTTTGTATTGGTGACAAAGACCACTGGTCATTTGATTCTAAAATGTATGAGGAATTCAAGGATGTAGGTATTGCAGATAAGTTTGAAATATACGTGATGTTACAGGCGTCTCATAACCGGTGTACCTGAAACGTGATTTTGTAAACACTATCCAATATGGTGGAAAGTTCACTTGGGCGTTCGTGTTTTCGTTTTTCCCAAAACATTCTAAACGATTCTAGGGTTATCGGAGACGTTTTTGAATGATCATTGGTGATTTCATAAAATACAGATACCCGTGATAACTAATATGCTATTTTTGAAATTCATTTCTCCGAGTAAATATCCGAAATTTAGATTTCAAAACATGCTGTAAATAACGCCGTGAGTGTTAATTTAGTAATGTGTAAAAAATGGCGACATTTACGATGTACCTCATTTTCAGAGGTCATGTTCAGTACTTTTGCTTGGCCTAAAATGCCAGTGGATGATATCACAGGACAGGGAATTTCCCACCTTATTCAAAACTGTAAAGTGTTGTTGTGTGGGTGATGTATTTTGAATTTTATTCGACTTCAAAGTGAGGGTTGTAGAGGAGGGACATATATGTCCCTCTGGCATCCAGGGGGTTAACAGTTCGAGCCTGTGCCGATTTGATATGGCACTTCGCTTGGTTGACACTCATTTCCTGGCATAAGGACGTGCATTCAATATAGACCAATGATGCTGGGTATAAAGTAAAATGGCTATCATATGTTAACAAAAAACGTTTTAAACTGCAAAATGACGCCAAAATGAACTTTCATCTGTTACATACAATACGTCCGTCAATGAGTAACATACTGGTACCCACCTTCCACGACCAGCTTGACCCTGCCTCTGCCGGTGGGGTAGACGCCGTTCCTGCCTGTGCATGTGTAGTTGCCGCCGTCCTCCGGTCTGGCACTGGGAATCTTATACGTCGTACCAAGCACTCCCAGATCTGCGGAGAAGGTAGCGATTGAATTACGAACGGTTATAACGAACACGCTTATAACGAACTGACGGATATAACGAACTTACTTTTGGGTCCCGACTATTTGCTGTTGTTATACTGTATATATGCTTATAACGAACTACGGTTATAACGAACTAAAATTAGTAGTCCCTTAGAGTTCGTTATAACCGTACTTTACTGTAAGTGCATGGGCAATAAACTAATGGCAACTATGACTGTGTGACAGCACCACGAAGTACACACTTACGTCAAACCTGTCCAGACGAATATTAGTTACGAAAGAAATAGTTTTTTATGATTATATTAATGTAATACCTTAATATATTTTTTTTTAGCCCATACTTACTTTTCTTGACCCTCTTGCCCCCGACCATTACACGTGCACTCCAGCTGATCTTGGGGGAAGGGTGACCCCTGAAGTTACAGGCCAAGGTCGCGGGGCTTCCTTCCTTGACATTCACCGTACTGACGTGGTTATTGGTAACGAGTACGGGAGCTTGCTTTTGAGGACCTGGAACAAACGTTAATAAAATCCCTTACTGCAGACACAACTGGGATATGTACTTAGCAATAACGTCTGTTGAGGAGTGACGGGGTGAGTTGGGCTAAGCGCGAACAGTTTTACAGTTACATATCGGCGTTTGAGGGTCATATAAGCCGAGGGACAAAGGAACACGTTTACCTACTTGGCAAAAACCTACAAAAGGGATATGGTTTTTAAAACACGATCAGCGTATCCTATCCAGGGTAAGGGACGTAACTTTTACAAAAATCGTTGTGCCTGCGACAGCCGGGTCACACGTGCCCCATACAGAGCATGCACTAAACACACTGTAGAAATAAAGGGGTATAAAATGCCAATGAAAACAGCTTACTCCACTTGAACAGAATATAGCATTATACAGTCTTGAAAGAGTGAGTTAAAGAGGGAATAAGTGAATGAGTGCGTGCGTGTACAGGTTGCTTTATCTCTGGGCAGCAGCGTCGAGCTACGTCACGGCGGATTGCATGCTGTGTTGGATATCGAGCAGACTGCCCACTGCCCAGATGCTAAACATCGCCAGGGTACTATGCCAAGCTAAGTTTGTGTATCACTCCATGAGTGAGTGAGTTGAGGTTTACGACGCTTTAAGCAAAGTTCCGTCAAACTCACGGCGGGGAACACCATACACGGGCTCCATTTGCCCCCATCTGGGGAATCGAACCCGGGCCTTGGGCGTGACGAGCTGACGTTTTCACCACTCGGCTACTAAACTGGCCTTTCACGCTATGACCTGACAGTACCTTTGCTTCTTAGTGTGAAGGTGCGAGTGAGGACTGGGTTGGTGTTGACGATGCATGTATATGTGCCGAAGTCGCTGTCCTTGACGTTCCTGATGCGGAGACTCCATTCTTCCCGCGTAGTGTGATGGATGCGGAGACGGCTGTCACTGGAGAGGACCTTCTTCCTGTACGCCAACACCCCACCCCTCTCTCCTACCCACAACACCTGAACAAGTAAAGGGGGGAGACTATCAGTTTACTGGAACACATTGCCGTCAATCATGGTTCAAAGGACAATTTGCGATCATTAATAGTTGGTTTACAGTATAACCCCGTAAATACGGACGGTTTCGTTCGCAGTCAAATCATCCGAATGAACAAATTGGTGTTTGAAAAAATCATAGGTAGACATAGTATTAATCGACTATGAACGATCCTTATAGATCACGTCCGGATTGTGGGGTGTCCGCACTAACGGGGTCCTGACTACTGTACTGTACAAGTGTACATGGTGTGTACACCACCACTGTTAGTATTTGCTCAGTCAAGTCAAGTATGGTTTATTATTGTGCTTGCATGTTGAGATTAAAACCTTGATATGCGAAAGCACTGATCATTGGGCTCCCGATTGATGCAACTCTCATATTTAATAGCCTTAATCAAGTGTGAGGGAAATGAGGTTTACTGTCGCGTTCATAACTATTGTACTTATATAGCGACGTGCATAATAACGGACCAAAAAACGTATTGGCGTTATAGGAAGTACATTTCAAGCCCTTGCTACACTGTTGGTCACAAAGTTGTAAAATCTTGAGCTGAGGTGAAATAGGGTTTAACGTCGCGTTCAAGATATATAACGACGCGCATACACGTGTGTGTGTGTGTGTTCGTGTGTGTGTGCGTGCGTGCTTGCGTGCTTGCGTGCGTGCGTGCGTTCGTGCGTGTGTGTTTGTGTGCGTGTGTGGCTGCTTGTACTAGTCCGGACTAATGCCGATTTTATAGTGCTATCCAACCATGCCGCAGTTTAACATGACTACCCCACTCAAACACAGTATACTGACTCCGAGCCGACCAGTCCTTGTTTTATTCCCTTAATGTCGAACGCCAGGCATGGTAACAACAAGTACCATCGTTTAACGTCTTTTGCTACGAAACGGCCGGCTAGGGGATCGAACCACCGACCTTCCGCTCTCCGAGCAGACGCTCAATCCACTACACCACGGAGGCGGTCCCTAATACAAATAATAATGTGGTTATGATCCATATGAAAATATAATTTAAAGGTTCTGTGAATTTATCAACGTATGGCAACGTTTGCTCTGTTTGACGGATGCACTTGTGTCACGTTTTACAGTATCACTTGTCAAGGCTAACCCGAGGCCTGAACCTAATCACAAATCATATTACAAAGCGAATAATTACTGAAGCGTCAATGGACATTGTTACTTATGTGCCTTTAACCCTATGTCCGTCAGTTAAGGCCTCCACGTGATGAAATGTGTATAATAGTAATTCGCTACGCGCAGCCAAGGAGCTTGACGCGCAACAATGGAAGGGAGGTAACTCTTCGGGGAAAAGTCCATTGATCTTAAACGATGTCGATTATACCAGAGACCATATATCGGTATATGGTCTCTGATTATACCAATGCTCCGTCGACAATGTTGATTGCCAGGATTTACGTTGGTATCTGAGAGTTACTGGTGTTAACTAGAGTTTAAAGAGGTCACCATACCTCACAGACTACCAGCTAAGCATCTCAATAATACTTAATTAGTTTCTACTTTTAAGTTACAAAAATAAGCATCCTGTCGCAGTGAAGTGTGTTTTCCACAGTAGTAATATAAACATCAACATGTGGTTATTTGTTTTCAGACACAACCCACATATATCCCATGACAAGAGGATACCTTTAACTCTATATTGATAACAAGTTGTATTTATGTACAGAACGGTCACCAAAATACCAGATGTTTCATTTTCAGATACACCACTCATCACAAAAGTCACACAGTTCTCTTGAACCTTACGTTGGAAATACTTCCACCATATAAATATATCACATTTACAAAAATACACACATGTCTATTAAATACTTTTATCAGTTATTATCAACAAAATAATTTTAATGTTTAAAAATCCAGAATATTAAATTGTGGGTCCTTTACTGCTGGTACCTATTTCGCGTAGATAATATTTCCTGCGTAGAAACCGTTGCCTCACCTTGTGTTTCTTCAGGTTTTTAACATTGCACGGCATGAGTACCGTCTCTCCAACGTCTACTTTCAGGATACTCTCTGTAGCCTCGATGTGGGTGCCGCCGTTTCCTAGAGACAGGCATGGACGTTAACGTACAAGCAGTGCGAGTCATTGAAACAGTAAAACCTCTTTACCTAGTAGTCCAAGACAAGTGGTCGCCTGATTTAAAAAAGGCGCAGTATATATGCATGTCCCCTTAAATCATATATGAATCCAAGGGTACAAATTAAGCGTTGAAACTATAAATATTACGTTTAAACTGCGGCGTTTGGCAAGCACCCGACTCTCGTAATAGGGGCTCCAGGGGCTCCTATGTTGTAGGCAGTAAAAATATCTGTGAGAGGATTTTAAAAATGATGGAAAGCCCCTTGCCGTCACCATGCCACATATATAAAGGCAACTTCTGCTGGTCGAACCACACTACAAACCAACCTCAATCTAAATAAGGTTCCTACTCTAGATGAAATACTAAACCCTCAAAATAAACTAGAAAACTTCAAGGCCCTAGGCGTATTCCTAATCAAAACAGGCCTAATTAAGCGCATCTAAAAACTAATTAATCTACAAATCCAAAATGCAATAAACATACAAACACCCACCTCACCCGGCTCCCTTAGTTCCCTCCTCCACCCACCTCGGCATTTATTCCAAATTTTAAAATTTCAAAAAATCGATATAAGCAACCCCTAAAAGCCCCCTCTTGTGTTGCACACACCACTTTAACCCTTCTCGGAATACACTAAATGGTCTGGCCAGGCCCGTGTGCGAAATACGCTGCAGTCGGAAAGCGCACGTTAAATCTTCTATATCAGTCAGTCAGTGGTCGAATTAATGGAACGGTTCGACAGGCTCGGTGACTTGGTTGATTGTCTGTCATATCGTACCGCGACGGCGAGGATCGATCGTTTCTCATAATTTCATTCACTGGATTGTCAGACTCGAGTATTGTCGGACCACCGTCATTCAAGTGGAATGTTGATGAGCGCAGGGTTAAACAACAACCAAACATCCATCACCATTAACATCCATGCACCACAGCATGCTCATTAAATCAACCGAAAGAACAATGTTACGACCAGAAACGTCTTTGTTGAAACCATCCACCTGCAACCACTCACCTGGCATAATAAGTGACGGAGTCTGCGACCACCCACCTGGCATAATAAGTGACGGAGTCTGCAACCACCCACCTGGCATAATGACTGACGGAGTCTGCGACCACCCACCTGGCATAATGACTGACGGAGTCTGCGACCACCCACCTGGCATAATGAGAGGGATGGTCTGCGACCACTCACCTGGCATAATGAGAGGGATGGTCTGCGACCACCCACCTGGCATAATAAGTGACGGAGTCTTCGACCACCCACCTGGCATAATGAGTGACGGAGTCTGCAACCACCCACCTGGCATAATGAGTGACGGAGTCTGCGACCACCCACCTGGCATAATGAGTGACGGAGTCTGCGACCACCCACCTGGCATAATGAGTGACGGAGTCTGCGACCACCCACCTGGCATAATGACTGACGGAGTCTGCGACCACCCACCTGGCATAATGACTGACGGAGTCTGCGACCACCCACCTGGCATAATGAGAGGGATGGTCTGCGACCACTCACCTGGCATAATGAGAGGGATGGTCTGCGACCACCCACCTGGCATAATAAGTGACGGAGTCTTCGACCACCCACCTGGCATAATGAGTGACGGAGTCTGCAACCACCCACCTGGCATAATGAGTGACGGAGTCTGCGACCACCCACCTGGCATAATGAGTGACGGAGTCTGCGACCACCCACCTGGCATAATGAGTGACGGAGTCTGCGACCACCCACCTGGCATAATGACTGACGGAGTCTGCGACCACCCACCTGGCATAATGACTGACGGAGTCTGCGACCACCCACCTGGCATAATGAGTGACTGAGTCTGCGAACACCCACCTGGCATAATGAGTGACGGAGTCTGCGACCACCCACCTGGCATAATGAGTGACGGAGTCTGCGACCACCCACCTGGCATAATGAGTGACGGAGTCTGCGACCACCCACCTGGCATAATGAGTGACGGAGTCTGCAACCACCTACCTGGCATAATGAGTGACGGAGTCTGCGACCACCCACCTGGCTTAATAAGTTACGGAGTCTGCGAACACCCACCCATCTTCGCGAGGCAAGTGAGTTAACTGACTATAAAAGTCCAGTTTCCACCCTTGCACAACTAGGCTGGTATTATGGAGTTACATTTTGGCTGGACTAACGAGTCTATGCATAGTCCAATCAAAATCGCGCACCGAAATCGAAATCCGGTTCGTAAAGTGTCATGCAGATTTCGGTCGACTGCAGGATTTTCATGTTTTTAATCAAGGTGATCGCGTGATTTGATGCACTTCGCGATATAAGACTAGTTTTATCACTATATAGATCTTGATTATCGATCAGATCGTCTTGACTGGGCGCCACCGTTTTGTTTGAAGCAAATGCAAGTGATACGAGAGGTTGAATCTGATTGGTCCAAAGGAGAGGCATAGAAAGGACATAACTCGTAATAGCCACTGGTGGCGCTACGATCGAGCCCAGGAATTCCTGCCAAGTTCGGCAAGGGTGGAAACTGGACTTTTAAAGTCAGTTAACTCTCTTGCCTCGGGAAGATGCCACCCACCTGACATAATGAGTGACCGAGTCTGCAACCACCTACCTGGCATAATGAGCGTGATGGTCTGCGACAGTTCATCGTGTCCAGTGACACGACACTCGTACTCCCCGGCGTCCGACGTGTCCAGTTTCTTGATGTACAGTGTCCACCTCTGGGTCGCAGGTTCATGAGCAACCCGGTATTTCTTGGACGGGGTAAACTTGGCGGTTCCCACTGAGATAGGGACCGGATCCGACAGCCGCCGCCAAGTCACCTGCAGCACAGACGGAGATAGCATACAGCTGGTTCATTACTTTATACAGTCGAACGAATGCCTAAATGGACAATTTCACCTTCTATATTCGTAGTACTACTATTTATTACAGGACTGTCACCCCGAACACTATCCCTCTAAGTAGTCACTGTTATTGATATATTCACTGAATATTTGTATTCTGGATATTAACCCTACTGTCTGTTCACTCTACGTTACAGGAATAATGGACGATCACCCTTCTATCTATTCACCATTTACTATTAGAAAACTGATATCAGGGACAATCACCTTCTATCTATTCACCATTTACTATTAGAAAACTGCTGGCCTGGACATTCACCCGACTATCTATTAACTGTTTACGATAGGAAACCTGATATCCGAGACAATCACCTGCTATCTTTTCACTATTTACTGTAGGAAAACTGATATCCGGGACAATTACATTCTATCTATTCACTATTTACTATTTGAAAACTGATATCAGGGACAATCACCTTCTATCTATTCACCATTTACTATTTGAAAACTGATATCCGGAACAATCACCTGCTATCTATTCACCATTTACTATTTGAAAACTGATATCAGGGACAATCACCTTCTATCTATTCCCTCTTTATGACAGGAAAACTGATATCAGGGACAATCACCTTCTATCTATTCACTATTTACTATTTGAAAACTGATATCCGGGACAACCACCTTCTATCTATTCCCTCTTTATGACAGGAAAACTGTTATCAGGGACAATCACCTTCTATCTATTCACTGTTTACAAAAGGAAAACTGATATCCGTGACTATCACCTATCTATTCACTATTTACTGTAGGAAAACTGATATCCGGGACAATTACATTCTATCTATTCACTATTTACTATTTGAAAACTGATATCCGGGACAATCACCTTCTATCTATTCCCTCTTTATGACAGGAAAACTGATATCAGGGACAATCACCTTCTATCTATGCCCTCTTTATGACAGGAAAACTGATATCAGGGACAATCACCTTCTATCTATTCCCTCTTTATGACAGGAAAACTGATATCAGGGACAATCACCTTCTATCTATTCACTGTTTACAAAAGGAAAACTGATATACGTGACAATCACCTATCTATTCACTATTTACTGTAGGAAAACTGATATCCGGGACAATTACATTCCATCTTTTCACCATTTACTATTTGAAAACTGATATCCGGGACAATCACCTTCTATCTATTCACTCTTTATGACAGGAAAACTGATATCCGGGACAATCACCTTCTATCTATTCACTATTTACTAAAGGAATACTGCCATCCTGGACAAATTTATTGCCTGCTACAGAATAATTGCTACTTCACTACCAAACTGGCCACAAAGATAAACGTTTCTTCAGCTGATGATGTCTCCAGGAATACGAAGGTTCACTTACCGTGTTCCGGCCCAGGTTGGCGACAGTGCAGTACAGTTCGGCGTCGTTCCCGATGTAGTAGGTGATGTTGAGTTGGGGAGCGTCTACATCCGGGAACTTGGCAGCTGAAATACCGTATGGAAAGGCCAACACAACATCAGTCCCATATGGCGAATATATCCACCTTTATTGTGTTTTGAAGAAGTTGTATTAGAATAGTAACTTGTGGTATCAGTGACCATGATTATCTTCAGGTTGAATTTAACTTTTTAAATTACTTGATTTCTGAATCTCCCGTCACGAAATTCACAAATGTTGAAAATACGAGGGGTGGGTGAGCGCTTAGTCTCATCACGGACTTGTTATATAGGTTCGTGGTCTCATTTAGAAAGACTTGACGTTAAGACATTAAACATTAAAGATGTTGGAGTGATTTTAAACAACAAACATACTTCTACAACTACTCATACTGCTATTACCACTACCACCACTACTACTACTACTACTAGTAGTAAGAATAATACTTCTTATGTTTAACTTTTTTCATTTCACCCGACGACATTATTCTAAAAGTAGTTTTTTTCAATTTTTACCAGGTATCATATGATATAAAACATACGTCATGGAAAAAAAATAATTAAAAGGACTGCTAAAATTTTACCTAACTAATCGTGCACATTAGTGTTTACTTCATTAACTGTGCAGCGCGTTAACACTGTATGCTCTTAATTAGTGTAAAGTTAACCTCAGTCCCGTGCTTGTTTAACCGTTTACACGTGATCTTATGAGCTTCGATATCTTCATTGGCAATTCACCCCGCTAAGCGTTTATCTCCCTTCCATGTATTAAGCGTCATGTACCGTTCCTGCTGTGTCCGTGCTGCACGTCGCGAGCGTTAAATACCACAGACAGCTTCCGCCTTGTGTTTCTACTCAAGCTGATAGATATCCACGTGTGTGTATACACTGAGATTATATGATTGTTTGTTGCAAAATCTCACACATCGTAATTCATGCTTGTATCTTAGAATATTTACGTAATTCCGAAAGGTGTCGGGAAACGTGTTAATTGAAAATACTTCCTCGTGTGATGAATAAATGAACCGATAAGTGTGTACCACAAAAACAGGTGGTTTCAGATAAATCAATGGAAACATAAACCAATACGCTATATCGTGCGTAGAGTAATCATACTAATAAGTAATAATACGTGGGCTTATATTTATTATAAAAAAACACTGATGAGAAAATGACTACATTACGCAGGACTGTTTATTTTCATTTTTTTATCCTCATCGATTGATTTTTAAAATGAACTATTAGACGTGTTTGATAGTTTTAGCAAATGACAGTAAAAGTTAAATAACGATGTACACTTACCCAAGGTGACGCCGGAGAACTCCACTGTTCCAACAATGATGCACATATACACAGTCACTATCACACCGGTGGTGGACATCTTTGTAATATTTAAATGTTGAATATTTACTTAACCAGTCAAAGAAAACGTGTTATTCCCAAATGTTCCAAGTATCTTTCATCTGAACGTGATGTCACTCCCAGCGATCCCTCCCATGATGTCTGCAGACGTTTATGTCTGTAACAGTGCCGTGGGTTTGTAAACAGCAGCAGAACTCTCTAGCATCACACACGATTGGCAGGATTTATGGAACCGTTAGAACCAATTAACAGAGAATACCAAGTATCTGGTTCTTAAGAATATTCTCCGGAAAGAGCAGCAGTGGTCTCCCTTGGATACTGGTTCAACTCTTCAGCTGTAACAGCATTCCCACGGTTGTAATATTCGAGCTGTAGTTCATGCTCCGATTTTGGGTAAATCTTTTTTCCACGGTTCTGCATTGAGCAGCAATCACTAAACTCCCAAGGGCTATCTTCAGACTGACTCCGGTCAATATATACTGCTGCACAATGCCGTGTTAAAGTGCGACCCACGTTTTCCTTTCCGAAACTCGTGAATCACACTGAGAGGAGGGATGTAAACCTCAGACATGTAGAGGGGGATGCGGAAAATGGGAGCGGATGTTCCTGGGTTGTAAAGTCATTAGCGGTCGTATTCCAATGTTCATTAGTGGAGCGAGGGGGTTATTTACTCATGCAAGAGGGGGGGGGGGGGGGGGGCGTTAATCAGGGCTATCATACCAGAGAACATATTGTTGTTTTAATGATCAGTACCCCGCCATGTGCTATCACTTAAAGCAGGACGTCAAATGCACTGATTTTAAGATAAAGGTCATAATATTTGGGACGGGATCGTGCATATGGCGGTGAAACACGAAAGCACTTTGAAGTGTTGCGTTAATGTGTGACGCAGGTACTCAATTCATGCAATTTCCGCAATCTGTGAATGTCATTAAGTTTCAAGGACGAATTTACCAGTTAAAGTTGTTTCAGATACGACTTGAATTAATTGAAAAAGTACATCGATCTTGAAACTTGAGAACTCTTGTATTCACTCGTTTGACACGATCCTTTATCAAAAGTTCATATTCATTTCAGAAATTATTCCATTGTATCTGTTCTAACTGATGCATATTTTAACAAGAGTTATAAATGTACATCTGACTAAACGGATATAACATAAAGAGCTCGGAAGCGAGAATGTACTTCCGGTTGGCTTTCTCCTAAACAATTTATATCCCACAACTATATGTGTTCGGTAACGGGATGGTTTTCGCGAGTGTGTGAAATTTCTCATATCCCTATGATTGTATAGTCAACTTTATTATAATTCACATGGTTTATACATAAGCGGTGACCTTCAGTGACGGGTCGCCTACTGTGCCAGGCGGTGTGGTGTCGATCACTGGGCATCGAGTGGAGTGGAAGGAAGCTGTGGTGAATCCCCGCTGTCCACGCACTGTGAATATATGTTGTGGTATGTAGGTGAGATCTTCCCATGAAGAGTTGGAGTGAGTGAGTTGGGTTTAACGCCGCTTTTAACACTATTCCAGTTATATAACGGCGTGTCAGCTTAATGTGGGAGGAAAGCCCCAACTGATGCAGGTCTCAGATGTTTACCACTTCGGTGAAACCCACGAGCACGGGTATGGTGCTGACAAACCTAGAAACATAATCAGGACGAACCGGGATTCGAACCCCCAATCATAGGTTTCTGGCGTACCCAAGGGACGCAACTCTGGACAGCGAATCGCGGCGCCTTAGACGACTGGGCCACCCGTGCCACCTGAAGAGTTAGAGACCGATCATTCAATATAATTAACCTCTGAGGGAGAGGGGTTAGTTACTTTAGAGACAGGATATTTTTCGGTCACTGCATTAAAACATACACCCAACATATCCAGCGAACTACCTGTTTGGGTTAAACCTGAGACAAAATTACTTTTCCCCCCAATTTGTGAAGATTTCATTTTTTAAATCCCATTTCCGTCGGTCATACCCCACCCGTGAAGAATAGGTCTACAGAAACCAATGCTTGCCGTAAAAGGCGACTATGCTTGTCGTAAGAGGCTACTAACGGGATCGGGTGGCCAGGTTTACTGACTTGGTTGATGTATGTAATCGTATCCCAATTGCGTGGATCGATGCTCATAATATCAATCACTGGATTGTCTGGTCCAGACTCGATTATTTACAGACCGCCGTTATATAGCTGGAATATTGCTGAGTGCGGCGTTACACAACAAACAAACAAACAAACAAACACCAAACAAACATTTGCCAGATACCCTAATTGCTAGACAGTGGAAAAGAGAAAGCTTGTCGAAGCATATGAGACTTACCTGTTGTGGTAAGGGACCAATCCATAACGAAGGTAATAGTAAAAAAGTTGATCTACTCAGATACAATAGGATTACATATTGTTTAACTTTATACCAGTATATATTCAACCAATGAACCATTTGCTCACGAAAGCAACATAAATGTGTAATTTCTTCTTACGAAAATATTCAGTTTTCTCAATTTAAATGTTTTACTAAATTGTGCATACATCGTCGTAGATATCTCAATTTGTCAAAAACATGCCAGGTTTGCAGTTTATAAAAATGTAAAGAGGATAAGAAATCAAATGTCATTCCCACATAAATAGTTAGAATTAATCTCAGTTAATTAATTAGTTCTGCTTTAAGTAAGTCTAGTTATTTGTAAGTATGGGATATGTAAGAATGACGACACACTTAAAGCGCATATTTAAAATGTTCATTTGGTGGTTTATGTACTTGCTTATATAAACATATATTGTTTTACTATCATGTGGAGAAAGGTATTGTTTTATACTGTATATATCAAAATTCTACTAGAATGGCATGTGTACACATGTTGAGTACGTGTTAACCTGTTACTAATATTGCCGTTTATAAGGTGAAATCTAAATAAACAATCTACCTGTGTGTCTGTCCATTGGGGAAAAGTGAAATATACATTGAATTATTTCCAATACTCTCATGTTAACATTAGGTGTAAAATATACCTTTGTTCGAGTTTTTTTTATGTCAAATTGGACGACAATTTTATTCTGATTTTCCGTGTGTGTACCAACCATAGAGAGGCTTGAAAAACATGAAAATTGCGATTTTTATTAAAACGAAGCGACAAATTCCACCCCCGAGGGCCACACCCGTGATATGAAAACCATTGTTTTTGTTCATGTAAAAAGCAATGAAATGATGGACATCATAAATCGATACATTATTTCAAGCTTAGACATCTCAGGTGAATGCAATTGCGACAGATCTGTTGTTTACGAACAATCGGTTGACCAAGCACACTAAAATAGCAGAACTGTGCGAAGTACTACGTCAGAGCACCACAGCTACACAGATGTGAAGTACGTACCTTTCAGAGGTAGTGTGCCCTTATATGTCCCGCTGATGGACACACTACAAATCATCATACTGCGAAAATGTTGATCCACAAATCATGTGATGGCTTTCAGCGTTTACAAATAATAAAATTCACCAATCCCCAAACCTTTATTTCGTTCATAAACTAGAGTGAGTGAGTGTGTAGTTGAGAAGGGGCTCAGCGGAGGGGACTACCTCACCTTTGAGGGGCAGAAACAAGCCCATCATGCACTAGGAGATGGATCTACACCAAGTTCCAGATTACGAGGACTTGTCCCAAAGATGGAAGAGTTCCATAACCAAGCTGAACTTCTAAAGGTATATATAATAACTTCATTTTCTGTAATTGCGATTTAACAACAGAAGGAATAGAGCTAGCTTGAACTGGCTAGACTTGCTTTTGTATGCATTTCTAGATTATTTTTTTCATAAAATAAATATATTCCACGGTCATGGTGCAGAAGTAGGTGCTGACATACCCAGAAACATATCAAAGCCACGATCATAGGTTTCTGGCACGTCTAGGGAAGGCAACTCTGAAAAGCGGATTGCGGCGCCTGAGACGGCTGGTCTGCCAAACCCACGTCATGAACTCTACTATATCTTCCCTAATGCAGCGTATCACAGGCAACAGATTGAAACATGGCATAATCAAACATTGGCAATATGGTTATACAATCTCATTAAAATCAGATCTAAGTTCTCGCTGCCGCTAAACAAAGATCTGAGGACATCCCATTACGGTTCACGTCAGAACGACCTTTCGCGAACTTTGACCGACCACTGGAATGACTAACAAGAAGTCGACAGCCAATTAGAAAGCAGCTTTCTCGAGCTTTACGGCACTCGTTTCAACTTGGCGACTTCCATTTCAGACCACGCTTGAAATATATGTTGACACAGTTCGCCATTAAATTTTTAAAACTGAACGAACGAACATTCCGGAATGTTTAATATATGGTTGCGATTGTATGGCAGTGCTTCCCACGTACTGTGCAACGCCTCCTCCGTTCAAATGTTTATCCCACGTAAGCAGAGATAGACGATAATTTTGACGGAATCAGTCGTACGGACCGTAACTGTCCTACGGAATACCCGGTGTTAACGTTTTCGAGGTTGCGTGATTAGAAAACGCATTCGGCTGTCACTTTCATGAACTGCTAAACGACGCTTTGATTAGTCGGATGAAAGGTCGTTCTGATGTGACCCGTAATGGGATGTCCTCAGATCTTTGTTTAGCGATAGCGAGAACTAGGATCTGATTTTAATGAGATTGTATCGTTATAACGCACATTACCTTTGTGGAACATTCACTGAGTGACTGGCATGGTCTGAACCTTGCCATCCCTCCTAATAAACACAAGTAACACGAACACTCACAACAAACAGGGACACAGACAGGCTGTCATTATATGACAGACATCACTGTGAAGCAATTGGCTGCAATGTTTAGGAATAACTGACAGAGTCCCTTTCTCCTGGGAGTGGTATGAGAGGCTGTTCCTCGCTGTTGCGGACGTAGATGACACGTGTTCTGTCGTTACTGGCCCTGGAGACACACAGGAGGCTGATGTAGATGAACGAGAGCAACATGCACAGGAAACTGATGGTCCAGGTGCAACTCTGGAAACATGACATCACACAGTGTACTGTATGAATACGATATAACGATGGTCAAAAGAAATAGGTAACTACTGGTTCTGCTATGTGTTCGGTAAAAGTCAATTTTGTTTTCTGTCCTTTTGTCTATCTGCTTCTTATTCTTCATTAGTTTTGTTCATTATTCACATGGTCTCCCTTTTAACACGTTCTTGCATAAAATCAGCAGTCATATTCTATGTTTTAAAAGGGCCCCAAAATCATACTTCATCCCTTATCAAGTACTATTTGAGAGACCCGTAAAGATCCGGGGTAGGTCTTCAGCAACCCATTCTTGCCGTAAAAGGCGACTATGCTTGTCGTAAGAGGCGACTGACGGGATCAGGTGGTCAGGCTCGCTGACTTGGTTGATGTATGTCATCGTATCCCAATTGCATGGATCGATGCTCATGATGTCAATCACTCGATTGTCTGGTCCAGACTCGATTATTTACAGACCGCCGTCATATCGCTGGAATATTGCTGAATGCGACGTTAAACAACAAACAAACAAACAAACAAATCCTAAACTATGTGGGTCAGTGGGTATTTGAGCTTTTAACATTGTTTTTGACAGCATTTCATTCATGAAAGAAGGGAGAAAGCTGCTTGTGGCATCGTACAACATGGCTTTAAAATTCTCCTCTTTTGATACACCTGTTACAAGGCCATTCAGTGTAGCAATACCCTACAATACCGACCTGTTGTATAATCTCTGTCCTGAAGTACATCGTCATGTTGAGTTTCTCCTCTGCAAAACGTTTATCATAATATTTGGCCGCCATCTGACAACTGAAACAAGTTGCATATACAAATATTATTTCGTGAGAGCGAGTGTCAAAATGATTTAACAAATGTGTTTTAGAATATTTGTTTTCCGAACAATGTATTTCGCCAAAAATCGCGCCTTCCATATATCTCCAGACAAAGCCTTTGGGCGTGTGAAATCATTACTACAAGGGTGAAATCATTACTACAAGTGTGAATTCATTACTACAGGGGTGAAATCATTACTACACGTGTGAAATCAATACTACAAGGGTGGAATAATACTTATTCTTAATGTTTAACCTACAATAATATAATGACTTGTTTATAACACGAGTAAGCGAGTAATTTGGTTTAAGGGCGTTGTGAATTTCGATTATGTCACGGCTTGTTATGTTAATGTGGGGTGAGAGAGGCGAATGATGTAGGTGTCTTGATGAAGCCATGAGCACAGTAAGGATCTGACAGACCAACGACAAAGATTTGACAATGAATAGACGCAAATGAGCAACTTGCACGACCTCTCGCTCTGACAACTCTTTCAATGAGATGAGTGACAGACACAGCTATAGCCAGTTTTATGACAATATCAGGATGTTAATACCGAATCAGTGAGTGCTGACTGGCCTCAACCAGACATGACCTTGTTCACACAAAGATTTGGAAAAATGTGTGTCATCGCCCAGTTGACTGTACGCATATTTTGCAAATCCTGCAATCGACCAATCTGTACGTTGAAATCCATGTTGGTTGTTTTCGATTTCGTTGGGCTGTGTTAATGGGACTATGCATTGATGTTAGTCCAGCCAAAATATAACTATAATTGCAGCCTTGTTCGGCAAAGGATGAAACTGGACGTTTAGAGTCAGTTTTCTTCCTTGCCTCGGCAAGATGACTTTTAAGATGAATATGGGTGAGTGAGTGAATGAGTTGGGGTTTTATCGTGTTATTAGCAATGTTCGAGCAATGTCACGGAGGGGGACATCAGAAATGGGCACCATTTAATCTCGTACGATTGTCCAGTTTAATATCCTTGATAGGTCAGTGGTATTGTTACTTCTATACAAAAGTACTGTTTACTTACTCGGTTGCGTTTGGGAACGTTGTTTGCAGGTTCTTACACCACAACAAGAACTGTGTAGTCAATGAAGCGGAACCAGTTAGACCGAGAACGGTGACAATGACGAATATCACAGTTTGCAGGGCAAAACATCTACACATGAAACATAGGCAAACATGACTGTGAGACATTGCAGAGACTATATAACACACATATTCTAACAAAACAGGTAACAGAAAGAATAATATTAACCGTTAAAAAACATGAGAATACTATGAAAGAATCGGGCGTTCGATCTTTACTTTCTTTTGAGTAGTATAGAACTTGAACAATTGAACAGTATTTCAGTTATTTTTCACATGTCTGAATTGGGGGGGGGGGGGGGGGGGGGGACTTCCCCAATAATAAGGAGGTGGTCACTTTGATGAAACCCACGGGCACTCTTATGATGCTGACAATCCATGAACATCACTTTGAACACAACGAATTGTGGAGCCTTTGACGACCAAACCACCTTCGTCCCCGCACGACACTAGTGAGTGAGTTGGGTTTAACGCCGCTTTTAACAGTATTCCAGTCATATCACGGCGTGTCAGCTGAACGTGGGAGGAAAGCCCGAAGTGATGCAGGTCTCAGACGTTTACCACTTCGGTGAAACCCACGAGCACGGGTATGGTGCTGACAAATCTAGAAACATAATCGGGGCACACAATCATAGGTTTCTGGCGTGCCTAGGGGACGCAACTCTGCATAGCGAATCGCGGCGCCTTAGACGACTGCCCCCGTGTTACCCCCATAACACGTGTTACATAAACGTTCGAGTTAAGGTTAATTAATAGCGAAACCGTGTTACCACAACTAGCTCGAGGCATGTACTGTGAACTTCAAACTTCTACAGTGTAGAACCTAACACAACTAGCTTCATAGGACTGTGTCAATGAGTGCTGGAACCATTGACTTACAAATATATTATAGTTTGAGTTTCACAGTTCGAGTTAAGGAGAGTTCGATGTAAGTGATGTTTAAATATCTCGACACACTCACAGTTTGTTTTCCCAGCAGCAGTGGGCGAAAAAGGACAGAATGCTCCACCCCGACACGACACCACAAGCGTACAGAACAATGCTGCAGAAAAACTCCAAGACGCTGTCGGCCTGAGAGGGTTTAAATATAAAATAATATAAATAACAACATCATTGCCGATTGTTTTCCACTCATACCGCAAGTCCAAACAACTGAAACATTAATATT